AACTGCTGGATTTTCTGCTAACATTGCCAACACAGTCTGATCCAAAGGATCTCTGTAAAGCAATCAACCGTTGGTAGCCGTTAACTTCATACTCAATATTATTGCATTTACTCCAGATCGGTAGTGGTCGCACGCGGTTTCCCACAAAATTTTTCTTTTCATTTTTTTTTTGTTTTGTTACAGATGATGTAAACGCATAGAAACGCTGCGCCTCACTGCGCCTAACAGTATAACACAAAGAACGCTTTTCGGTGCCAACTTATTGAACATCTGCATTCAAAACGATACTAAAAAAACAGTTCTTGAAATTTAGAAACAAATTTATATGAGTCGTTCTCGTAAAATCCTTGTCCCGCAAGGGAAATTCATGCATACCTCAAGTTGGGGCTGTCGATATTATTCAGCAGCACGATGAGCTGCTGCTTCTTGTGTTCGATGGTGGAAGCAATATGTTTCGCCCAATCAACGAGTGATCGTCGCTTTTGCTGGAAATCTATTCTTCCTCTCTTAAAAAAACGTATAACTTTTCAGAATTCAGCGCAATGTATGGAGGATTTCTGTGAATAGGCATTCTCATGAAAATGACCCTATACTGCAGGTTCAACACCCTTTAACAGTAACACGCAAAAACGTTCACATAATGTATGATTACCAGCTCATAATCATGATAAAGGTGACATCCAACCAACGATGTTCCAAGACTTACCTCGCAGTTCTTGAGTTGCATACACTCGACGATATTCACAAGGATGGATTTGGAGGTGACATCTTCTCGAAAACCGTCTATCGTCAAAGTTCGAAATCGGCTCAGCTGCTCTTCCCGGAACGCGTTTACTAAGGCCCTTTTTGAGCCAACACCGTAGAGCTAAAGCAATTAAAGTTACGATTCCTAGACTGCCTTTCTGGAAAGAAAAACGAACCAGTAAGTTGAATCCACCCGCCAAGCAGTACGTCCACCAGGAGAACTCCTGCCTCAAGCTTTCTATACGCTTAGCATCTTTTACCTTGACTTCATCGCTCTACGAATAACTCTAGTATTCTTGTGAAACCTTCTTTCAAAAAACATACATTGAGATAGTCTCTAAGCGTTCCAAGATCGCAGTGAGCAAACTGCTCCTCTGAAACTTCTTTTTCTTCAGGCTCGTCCTCATCCTCTTCTTCGCAAAGACTGCAAGACTTCCACTAAGGCTGC